TAACACCACTACAGCCTGAATTATTTTTTCTATGACATATGGTCCTTCAAATCGTGGATAAAACTTTGGCAGTTTTATCTTCTGGTGCTGAAGAAAGTGAATGCTTAATTTTTAACACTTCATCTCCTACTTTATAAGTTACTCTTCCCTGTCGTTTCATATCATAATAAAGTTTCTGTTTTCTCTTGTGCTACTTCAGTGTTCTTTTTTGCTTCTTTAATTAATTTTTCTATATCGCCCATTTTAAATTCTGGGTCTCTTTGTTGAACATAAAATAATTTATATCTAACGGCGTTATAATCTTTCTGACCTAAAAATAACTCAGCAGGAGTTTTGCCCTTTGTATCATGTTTTGCAGTCCTAAGGGCGAAAGCTAATTCATTGACATAGTTATCCCAGCTTTTATGAAAATTTTTAACATAACTACGGATAATTTTCACTATATTTCTATTGACCCGTTCCGCTATATTTGATTGCGGCCGATACTGGACCATTTTTAAATGACGTATGCCCAGTTTTTGGCACATGTCTTCAAATATATTACTTACAAATTGAAAACCATTATCCGATATAACTTTTAGGGGCGCCCCGTATTTTAAAATATATTTATTTAAAATAGAATCAGTAACTAATTTCGCGGAGGCTCGTTTTAAGGGAAAAATTTCGGTCCACTTACTAAAGTGATCAACCATAACAAGGAGATACCGACTTTTATTCATCTGACTTTTGGGGCCAATGAATCGATGCCAATTATTTCATTTGGAAATTCGGATTTAATGCTATTTAGAAACCCGGCCGGGCGGAAATTAATATAATTAACTGCTTGACATGTTGGGCAGGACTGGACATACGCCCTTGTTAACTTTTGCAGTTCAGGAAAATAAACTGCTTCGCGTACGCGTTGGATGGTTTTCGAATACCAGCATGAGAAGCTAAAGGGCTGTCATGGAGCTCTTGCAGTATATTTAATCTAAGACTAGCTGGGATAACAGGTCGAAATTCGTTGTTGGAATTTGTAGATTTTGTATAAAATAATAGACCATCTATTAGTTCGTAATGGGCCGCCCTATTTCTTATCGCCACAATATCTTGGTGGCTAAAATTTTCAGGATCCTTTAAATACTCATAAATGTTTTTAAGTTCAGGATCCTTACCCAGTTCGGTTATTACAGTTTCTCGGGAATTTATCGTACATGCTATGAGCATTGCCACCTTTACGGTATTACCTTCTTCATCTATTTTTATTCTGGGTAGGGCATCTGCTATGATATTTTCCTTTCCGGGGGTGTGCTTGATTACCAGATTATACTCTTGTAACTTGAGTGCCCATGTTATTAACCTTGGGGATAAGTTTTTCCCTGAGTACAATCTAGTTACCGTCGCATGATCAGAATACACTGTTATTGGCGCCCTTCCAAAATAGACTCGGAACTTTTGCACTGCTAACAGAACTGCAAGTGCCTCTCTCTCAGTCGCGGAATAATTTCTTTGTGTTTGATTTAAAATTCGACTAAAAAATGCCACGGCCTGCTGATTTTGAGAAAGTACCGCTCCTACCGCATAATCCGAAGCATCCGCTGAAATTTCTAAATTCTCATCATTTTCAGGAAATTTCAAAACAGGGGCTTGCGTTAATGCTTGCTTTAATTTTTCGAAACCACTATTGGCTTCGGTCGTCCACGAGAATCTTTCCTTTTTCCTTTTTAATTTTAACAATGGTTCAGCAATAGCTGCAAAATCTTTTATAAAGGACCTATAATATGAAGAAAGTCCTAGAAAAGAAGAGAGCTTCTTCGCCGTATTTGTGGCGGATACTTTTGCACAGCGATTATTTTTGATTCGTCTGTCTCGATTCCTTTCTGAGATATTTTGTAACCTAAGTATTTTAATTCAGGGGCTGCAAATTTGCACTTTTCGACATTAACTTTTAGACCGGCCTCATTACACCTGTCTTAAATCCTGTACATGTTGGTCCAGATTATCACTAGTAATAATGATATCGTCTAAATAGATAAATGTGGACTTTCCAAGAACAGGCCTTAGCACAATGTCCATACATCGCTGAAATGTTGCCGGTGCCCCTGAAAGGCCAAACGGCAGACGCAGGAATGCATAAGTGCCAGACTTGTTTATAAAAGCAGTCTTAGGCACATCTTCCGGTCTAACTCCTATTTGAAAATAACCAGTCGTTAAGTCTAAAGTAGTCATGTATTTGGTAGAAGTTATGTTCCTTAGAAATTTCTTCGAATAATAGGTAACGGATATACCGGATATTTCGTAATGCGATATACCGGATGGAGTTTAATTTACGATAGTCAATTGCAAAACGCCACCTTTTTGGATGTGTTAACCGGATAGTCATTATTTTTCTTACATAACACAACCGGGCTAGCATAACTACTTGAGATGGGCGTTATGATCTTTTTAATTAACATATCTCTAATGTGACCACTCTATAATTTTTTTTCTTTATTCTTATCATATCCGGTATGGTTTGTGGCGAACTGGCAGTGAATCTCCGGTGTCGATACTATGGTTAGTAACTTGAGTAAATCCTGGAATATCACTAAATAACGAAGCAAAATTCACTTACCACTTGTCGAATTTTTTGTTGCTCTTCCTTAGGCAAGTTGTCGAGGTTTAACGTTGGTGGTTCTGTTTTTTCTTCTCGAACTGGTTTCATCGTCAGCTTAAGGGACGCTTCGTTAAAATCCAGCGTTCCTTCTGCCTCTGAAAGAAAGTCTATCCCTAAGATGACATGTGCTTGCAAATTCTTTACGATAAAAAACATAATCTTAAGTATCTCTTCCTTGATACGAACGTATAACGGTAATTTGCATCTTTCTCGCTGCGCAGCTAACACTGTCGTATTATCCGAATTATATATGCGGTATTTACGGAAATACTTCCTAAAAAATCTTCTGCCAACACGAACACTGCGCGCCTGTATCCAGGAGTGCAGTGGCTGGGATGTTATTCACCAACACTTCAATCTTTGGAAGAGTCAAATTTTTCACCATCACTGTATTTAACTTGAAGGAAGAGGGGTTTTCTTGGCCTTCGGATTTCCGCACCCTCCCGTCAGCAGAAATCCGTTTTAGTTTAAATCTTGTTTCTTCCTTTTCATCATGCCTTCCTTCTTTTTCCACTGGCCTTCAGACTTTTTTGTGGCTTACTATTGAACTGTCGACGTTCACCGGTTGTTTTTGGATACTCGGGTTTCCTTGCCCACTGATTCGCATTGCTTCCGTAGCCGTGTTCTTGACTTTGCTGTGGTCTTGGCGCACCAAATTGGCTTCGTTGCTCATACTGGCGTCTTCTTTCAATGTCCGCCGTTCTTCTACTTTCAAACTGGATTGCTAGCTCAAATAACTTTTCCAGTGTAGTCGGATTCCTTAATTCAATAAAGTCTTGTACTTTTGGAAGTAACCTCGGCAAAATCACTTGAATTATCTTAAGATCCGGACGGTTTCCATACAAGAGTTTGAAGACGTGACTTTTTCTTAAAATAAAGCTTGAGAGATTTTCAATTCGTTTCTGGTATATGCTGAAAAGTTCCGCTTCTAATCTTGCACGATCCCTTACTACAGGGAAGGCTTTTACTAGGGCAGTCTTGAAATTTTCGTAAGTATAAGTGGGACTTCCCGCTTGACCCAAGAGACTTCTGCCTATGCATTTGAACCAATTCAGCGCTTGCCCCTCAAAGCGCTGGTAGCTAAGGTGACTTTCTGGAACTCATGCACTGGATACAGCATGAAGTGGTCATCCAATTTTTCCAAAATACTGGTTACCGGTGAGTTTCCATTAAATGTTGCTTCTGGTTTCATCGATGCGCGCATGGTCTGGACGATGTAACCAACTCCTTCCAGGGCGGCAGCTGGCATTTCTGGATTCTGAGCCGCTTCTGCAGGCAGCACAGGTTCTTCTTGAAACTCGGCCATGGTTATTCTTCTTCGTCGGGCGCCACTATCAGGTTCTGTGTTCCTCCTTACTTGCTTTGGGAACATTAAATGTCCTGACTCGGAACAGGGAGCTTACTAAAGCTATGTTCAATAAATTTGGGAAGTAGACAATACACACAGGAAGGGTATACGAAACCCTTTATTTTTCTCTCTTTACAATGATTTCCGGACTTCGGAATACAGAGACCAACCACTTGTGGTCTGAACGTAAGAATATAAAAATATTAACTAAACTCTAACTAAACTTAACTTTGGATTAATCAAACAAGTGCCTACTCCAAGATTGGCCGTATATTAGCAAAAAGCCGTATGTAGTACAGAGAACTGCTAACACTACGATACGTTTAAAATTATCAAGAGGATTAAACCTCTGGCCTTGAAGGCAACCAGCAACCGAGTAACACTACTATGGCAAGCGGCCTGCTTCTAATAGCTCCTTCCTCTCTCTTGCTTGGCAAAAAGCCACAGCTTAAGTACTTGGCGTTCGCAAGACAAATTTGCATAAATAAGTTAAAGCTTTTTAATTCTGGCCGGAAGTAGAAAATAAGAAGTGATAGTAAAGATTTAAAAATAAAATAAACTTTAGTAAAACTTAAGATCCTTACACAAGTTATAAATAATAGTACATGACTGTGATAAATGAAATTGTAATATTTAACAAAAAATAAATGGCAACAGTAAGATAGAGTTCTAAAGAATTTTAAAGTGTAGATTATGCACATCATGCAGTAATATATCTAGGACGAAAATCCTTCGCAGCAGGTCAAGTATATGTCGCCTTGAGTCGTGTGAAATCATTAGGTGGAATATTAATTGAAGAACTGGACTGTTCGAAACACACTGGAACGGTTCCTTGCAAAAATGAAGTATTACAAGAGATGGATAGAATGAGAAATTATAGACCACTATCAGCTTCATAATTAGACACGAAAAAATTTTAATAATGTTAATAAAAAGTAGCTAAAATAAAAATTTTTCTTTGTTGACCTAACAATTGAGTTGACTTTCAATTTTTTTGTTTATATTACTTGCTTTCAGATAAAAGATATGTTTCATTATATACACAGCATTGTGAGAACAGTCCTAATGGATAACACGTGGAAAGACCATGCAAGTGAAAAAATAGCTAGAGAAAAGGTTTGGTATATTTCCTTTTTTTCTCCCTTACATTATTTGTAACTACAAATGCCATAAAATTCTTTAATATTATAGCAAAATAGACAGATTCCTTACATGATATTCTATTGATAACATGCAATGCAGTATATCTAGCTTAGTAGTAGTTCAATGTAGTTCAGATTATAGCCAAATTACAACTCAATAAGCCCAAATATTTACATGGCTTTACAATATTATTAATTCGAAATCTGAAAACTGTTTTATAAAAACTCGTTTTATTAACATTTGAGTTTCATCATTCGATAAGTCTTTCGTCAGTGTCCTTCAAGGTCTGACGATGAGTTACGCTTAGAAGACACTTTTGGCTCAGTTCTCATATTCCCTTTTAATAAATTTAAATTCCATGGAGTAGACAGTTGTAACATTATCCCTACATTTTGAACGAAACAGAACTATACTGGTAAAAATTCAATCTAGAATGTTCTCTCTCCGTCTACGTCATGTCGCCAAATTTGTTGCAAAATCTCTCCAAACGGGCAATTTCGCGCCAGTTCTGGCAACCCGGCCTTTTTATGCACTTTTCTGGCAGCCCTGAACCCGCTTTGCAAGGAAGTTATCTTACCGAAGCTGGGCAATTCGTAACAATATTAAGAAACGTGTTTTCTGGCTACTTGCTTGCTGTCTTTGTTTATGCGCAAACACACTTTCTATTTTATACATCCCCAAAGCGCGAATTATAAACAAAAGCTTAGAGCCGTGTTTAATCTGTTGATAATCTGTCACGATATTCGAGTGCGGTTCATTATGAGGGATCAAGTTTCTTATATGGGAAACCTTTTGGTTACTGCACACATTTGTTATTGTAGATGTTCGCCGCGAAAGGTGTTCATTATGGAAGCATTCTTCAATGAGTATTTCCGACTTGTATGAGTAAAAAAATGCAATTGCTTTATAAATAATATTAAAAACTATTTGTCTGACGCTTAAAATAATTCTAATCGGCAAAGTACCTTGAAATCGGTTATTTCTAAAGCAGTATTTAAATAAAGGTTGAAAGCAGGAGTACTTAATAATAAGTGTTCGAAAACAGATTTCCAACATAAAAATTACATATTTGCCTGAATTTCCAGTTTGAGAATCTATAAAACAGGATTACTCCGAATTAAATATTGAATTTTAGATTAAAACAGCATTTATTTCCACTTACGTATTTCTTTTATGGGTACATCTTTATTATAGCAGCTCCCAAACATGTTTGGCGATTTTAGATTTGCGCTAAGATCTCAGCTGTGTTCTCGCCAAGCTTGTGAATCTCGAATCTTTAAATAAATAGCACAATATATAATAATAACAGTAATGCTCCCATGTCGTTTCTTAAGAATATTTTTAAGAATCTTTATCCTTATCATTATTATTATTTTACTGCATGTAATTGTTCCAGCCAACTGCAGCACTTTCATGCATATTAAGCTGTTTGTTACGCCATTAAATGGATGTCAGCATCTCTGTCCAAAAATAAATTAATCTAATAGGTGACGAATGATATTCTGAAACAGCTCATCCAAATTCAAATACAGAAGCAATTTTTCTTTTTGCAATGTTTAGCATTGCACCTTCAAATGGTTTCGTTGTCAACATAGAGCTTCCTGCCGTGGCCATTTTCGCGTACTCGTTTGTCAGGAAAAAGACCTCTTTCTTGAAACAATAATACCGCATCCTCCTCATTACTTAGTAAATTAAAGCTTGTTGACGTCATATTCCCCCCAAAAAAGGATAATGAGTATATTTTTAAATGAACAGTGCGAATTCGAAAACCACATCAAAAATGAATAACATAAGAACATGCATGCAACGACAGCAAAAGTACAGCATGGTGCTAATATACCATTACGTGGCGAGGCATAAGAACAAGCAACCAGATTTTACCGAAATATCTAGGACATAAAAGGATACTTCTTCGTTACAACGTTTCCCGAGTCTGAAGGTTGATTAGCGATTCAATCTCGGGAACCGCTATAACGAAAAAGTATCCTTTTATGTCTTGTAAATAAAAACGTTGCCAATTTAAAATGTTCATTCTATTAATCGGTTTCATTTTGTTTGATATTTTACAAATTTAGCTTAAATGTTTCGGGCAGTTTTCACATAAGAAAATACAATTTGTTTCAAAATAAGATAACTATTATCAAATTTGCAAAAACGTTTGGAGTATGAGTATTCTAACCTTTTTACCCCAAAGAGGCCTAGGAGGACTATAAATTTCGTTTTGGCATTTTGCGTCGTCCACTACAAAACGGCGTTTCACGTTTCAAATTGCTGCCACCAAATACTAGATCCCTACGTTATATTTAAACAAATTAAATAATGAAGAATCTGCATGAATATGTGAATGTTTCTTGAATTGTGAAAAAAACAACGGTACCTAGAGACATCAAAGTTTGAATAACATAGTCCTCCACGCGAATATGGCATCTGGAAGCGCTAATTTGGAATTTGTTTTATTATCTATTTCTTACTTTGTAAAATTTTAACGAATTTTTGATTAACAAATCAACGATTTCAAAGCAAACAATAGCAACACTGTACGAAAAAAAAAAGAAGAATTTTATATCCAGTGCGCGAGACTGTGTATCGGAAATTCTAAAGATGTGCTCTTTTTAACTATTTTGTGATATTGCTTTTAAAATGAATTTTATGGTTTAAGTGTGAACATGATACTTAATAAATAAAGCTAACACACAAAACGTTAAAAAAACGCCTCTTTGGACGTAATTTAAAATCTAAAACCTTTCAGATTTTATAAATTTTTATTATTTATTAAATAAAGGTAACACACCAAATGTTAAGAAAGAGCCCCTTTGGGCGTAATATAAAATCCGAAAGCCTTCAGACTTTTTTGTTTTGTTTTGTTTATTTATTGCTAAGTTTATTTATTTATTTATTTATTTTGTGTATGTGTGTTTTGTATTTTGTAGGCTTCGTCTATGGAAATACGTGTTAGTTATCCAAAAAATCTTTTATTCGTTTCTAATTTCTCCAGTCTGTACTCAGATGTAAGTACCAGGACATTTTCATAAAATATCTTACCTATCAAATCTAAGCAGTTCTGCCAATTTATCCAGTAAAATTTATTGTTTTCTCAGCTGAAGCTTGGCAACGAAAATTACTTCGAAAAGGTGTTGAAAGTGCGCAGGTGGTCAACTGACAATTCCTTATCTTTGCGGTTAAATCCTTCTCAGAGATATGCGCTGGAGCTACGAAGGTAATCAATTAACAGTTCCTTCCTTCTTTTTCTTTAATAGAAACGTAGGTTGATTGGTAAGTGTGTTACACAGGGTAAATCTGAAGTAGTGGGAAAAAACTTTAGGGGGTGATAAAGGCAGCGATGCGAGCAATATTTGTCAAAGGATGCATGGTCGGAACGCAAGCGGTGAGAAGTTAAAGGGTAGTTTTCCACTGTCATAGTTAAAGAATTAGCACAAAAATGAGACGATATACATCAGAAAACATTTTATTAGCAGAAAATGCTCATAGATATATTTTAAAAGACCTTCCACCAGCTGTGATGCAAGCTTTACACCTGCGGAATATGGATTGACGCACATTTGCCAAGACACCATGCATTTCCTGAGTGTTGCCGCTAACAACGACGATTTTGGAGACTAAAATCCATATTGGTTTTACTGGAGCACTCCTAGAATAGGCTTTTCATATGGTCACACAGGAAAAGTCCAAAGACGAGAGATCCGGTGATCTTGGTGGCCAAGGTATGGGACCACCTCGACCTGAAGATTTCGTGATTCGTATAAACAGCAGTCCATGGTAGAAAATGCCGTTGGGTTCGAGAGCGGACCCTTTTTATACTATTTATTTAAAATGCCACATAACGGGTCGCTGTTTACGTTCCGACCACACATTCTATAACGAATACTGCTAATATAGCTGCTTTCTATCACCTGCTAAAGTTTGGCCTACTTGCTCAGATTTACCCTGTATTTTTACTATGAATGGTTATTTGTTTTTGTTCTTCACTTTCTCTGTTTCTTAAAAACCTCTCAATGTTAATGTGAGAATTCTTAAATGCCGGTAATTTCATGAATCATGTTTCCACAGTACATGTAATAGTATAGTGCATCGTGCAGTAGTATTAATAGTTCTACATATAATAATATATTTTCCGTTTGAAATACATGCAGTAATACATAGTAGTACACATAATTGTACATACAAATAAATACGCACTATACTACGTTCTAATATAACGTGTAATACAAAAACTTACTATTATAAACATAAGATAATATATTAAACACTTCCAAAACATCTTCGGAACATTTACTGAACTCTGTTTGCTAATATATCAACCAGGAAAAGCAGAAAGTTTTGTTTTGGGTATGAAGTTCTTGTTACAAATCTTATGCTCAAACAAAGCCCACCAGCGGCCGAGCGGTAAAGTCGCTGAACACTGGTAATTCGGTCCGAGGTTCGAATCCCGCAAACGGGCTGGCTGCATGGGTGTTTTCGTGGTTTTCCCCATGTGTAACGTGTATACAAGCCAGTTTCCCTTAGAAAGACCTCCACGAAGGCATCCCTCCCCTTAGGCAGATAGCCCTCGAGGCTTTGCCGTAATTAAATAACGTAACCTAACCTAACTTTATGCTCAAACAGCACAGTAGGCCTTTTAGCGGCCGGGCGGCAAACGCCATTAAATTCTAGTAGTTTGGTTCGGCATTCGAGTAAAGGCAAACTGGCTAGCAGCAGGGCATTTTCGTTTTTTTTTCCCCATATGTATAATTTATATACCAGCTAGTTTCCCTTAAAAAGTGCTCCACGAAATCTATTCCATGCGTTATTAACAAAACAAAAAAACAAAAAAAAAAAAAAAAAAAAAAAAAGAACAGCGTGTTTTTATTTTCACGCGTTGTTTAAATTTTGACAACAGAATTTTTGAAAGTTTTTCTAATTTCTTTTATTTTTTCATTAGCACAAGAAAATTTAGCATTCATTTTCACTATAAATAGTTTAAAATGAATTTTATAAATTTTAATAATCTTCTACAATAAGGCTTTTTACATCATTATAATTCGCAGCATTATAACTGGCAAATTTATTACAGGTAAAATATTTCGCAAGTTTAAATTCTATTTTTAAACTGGCCACTGTAATGTAAACTGACAATGTAAAATTGACGTGTTTTTACTAGATTTTTCTTTTCAATTACGTTTTATATATTTATAGTAGTTTATTTTTAAAATTATGTACTAAAGATTTATTTGTGCGAGACATTATTACGTCGAGATAATCGCATGATTTTTTTTAATATGGGGCGCAAAGAATGTATATATATTTCATTTTTCTTTTTTTCTTTTTCAAGTTCCATTTCGTTATTTCATGCATTTTTTTTTTTTTTTTTTTTTTTTTTTTTTTTTACGTGCTTCAGAGGTCATGCGGGACGAAAGTGATACAGCTCTATTGAATTTTTCAGGTTTTGATGTTTCATATTTTTAACCTTCCTTGAGAAGTCGGTCTGGAGCATAAAAATATGAATAATTTACAATATATTATAAATTTTAATATAATTGGTACATCCAACTTAATTAATGATGAGGGATCCTCTTGAATTTTGAAATGTAATAGGTTTCTTTATAAAAATTTTAGCGTCTTTCTGAGATGGTTTAATTTACTTTTATTAATTAATTAATTTAAGTGTTATTTAATTAATGAATTATATAAAAATATGTGCTAATTATGTAAAAATATGTGCTACTGTATACAAATTGAGCTGTAAAATTTAAATTAAAAGACCAGACTTTGAACTATTTTAATTGTATCTTTATATTTCATTGCAACCTAAAATATTTTATGATAAATATGTTTTGGTTCATCTTCATACTTACTGTTCATGCTTCATGCTTTGCTAGTATATAATTCATGCTTACTGTTCCAGATTGTTCGATGAATACGCAAACGGATCTTCTGCAAAGATTATTCACAACTATGGGAAAAACAGAATTGGTGAGATAATTTTTCCTTTTATTTTTGAGTTCCATTGTTTAATCTTTGTAGCCAAGTTTTTTTATAGTTATTTATATATGTAGCAGTACTTGCTTTGATGCCGAGGACATATATTTAAAAAAACTGTAAATTTCTCTCTCAAATCCCATGTTTGTATTATATTTAAAATACTCACATGCACTTAATATTTTGAGAATTTTTAAAAACCAAAAATAAAGATTAAAACACTCCTTAGACAAAGGGCCTTTCACCTCGAGGCGACTTCGCTCAGTCCTCAGCTGACCTGAATTATTATAAGAATATTATAATATTCTGGAATTCGCTAGTGCTACATCAAGCTGCAGATATGCAGGACCGTATGTGAAAATTACTCTATATATAAGTAATATTTTGGAATATCATGGAGTCTTGCAGATTCAATAAAGAGAAAAGGTATGTTGCAATAGTTTAGTTTAGTTTAGTGACGGAGGACGTGGGCACCATCCCTTTACCGTTATGGTTAATTGGTAATAGCACCACGTCCACCCTTATCTAGAGACTAGTGGGACTACAGGTCATACATTACAGTACTTACGATATCGTACAATATAAATAAACCATACAATTTCCTACATTATGCATGACACAGTATATAATCAAACAGGATTATTAAAGCATAATGCTGGTGCGTATACAGTTAAAATGCAAAAGGTTAAAATGCAAAAGTTAAGATGCAAAATACTAAGTATCGATTTAAGTTATATGACTAAATAATATTATATTATTCATGCATAAAAACCTTAAAAAAATAAAATAAAAAATAAATAAAGAAAATTAAAAAAAGAAAAAAGAATACAATATCCTACATATGCATGATACAGTATATAATCAAACAGGATTATTAAATCATAATGCTGGTGCTTATACAGCTAAAATGCAAAAGGTTAAAATGAAAAATACTAAGTATCAATTAATTATATGATTATACAGCGCATTATTTATTTACTTATTTTTATTAGTCCAAAGGGATTTGTCCCTGAAGGACTATTGTTTTCGTTTTGCGATTTTGCGTCGGACTCATAAACGTCGGTTCACTTTTCAAACTGTTGCCACAAAATGTTAGAGTCCTGCATTATATTTGAAGAAATTAAATAATGAAAAATCTGCATAAATGTATGTATATTTCTCGTATTGTGATAAAACAACGGTACATAGAGTCATCGAATTTTGAATAACGTAATCCTCCAACGAATATGAGCATGTGGAAGACCAAATTTGAAATTTGAAATTTGTTTTATGATCGATTTCCTATTTTTTAAAACTTTGACGAATTTTTGATTAACAAACTCAAGGATTTCAAAGCGAGCAATGACAACGTTGTGCAGAAAAAAACATTTTTATCTCCAGCGCGTGAGTCTCTGTATTGGAAATTCTAAAGATATGCTCGTTTTAAAACTATTTTGCGATATTGCTGTTGCACTGGATCTTATGGTTTAAGTGCGAGGAACATGATATTTAATAAAGAAAGGTAACACACAAAATGTTAAAAAACGCCCTTTGGACGTAATTTAAAATCTGAAACATTTCAGATTTTTTTTTTTTTTTTTTTTGGCTTTGTTTTTTCTTTGTTTTTTGTTTTTTTATAAATAATATAAAATATAATATATAATCATAAAAATTGATACTTATTATATAATGGTATGCCAAAAAGAGAGGCAGCAAGCAGCAGCATGGCAGAAAAGCAAACAGGCAAAGAAAAGAAATGCAATACATTCAAAACGGAAAGCGTGGAACAGAGGAAAAAACGTTATTATTGTCAATTAGTTTTGATTTATTAATTAGCTTCGCAGTTGCATTTTTATGCAATGCTGCTCTCTGGAAACTTCGAAAATAATTGCTCCTTCGAAAAAGCGTTTTTAAATAATTAAAAATATTTTTTTTTTTTTTTTTTTTTTTTTTTTTTAAAGGAAACTTAAAAAAATTCTGCAGATTTGAGAAAATTTGCCAAGGGTTGTGAACTTGGTGATCAAAACTGTCGCTACGGCCCGACTAGAAAATTTCAGCTTGTAGCTCAGCTTCTAACTGAGCTATTGCCACAATTTAAAAGTTGAACAGTTATGAATAAGAGCTATAATTCTGTAGAAGTAATAAATTGGTGCAAATAAGTGCATGATCACAAATTCAATTATACAGAAACGCACCCTACGGATTCCTGTTTGTCTCATACTTAATGTTGACACAGTTGTGAAGAACCTTTAAGAGTGAGACACCTAGTGGTGATTCATTGGTCGATCTGGTAAGAGAAGGATAATTCCCTGCTATACCCCAGATTAATCGACAAAAGCATCATTAAGCCAATAAAAACAATACATAAAAATAACAGTACAATACATTGGACTAACGTATTTTCAATAATATTCAATTTTCTTCCACAAATGAAGAAAAAGGTTCATGTTTATGAGGGTGGAAGAAATTGACAGTACTGCTTTAACACATAATATCCAATATTTAACGCTTTTTTAGTATTTCAAAACACAAAAATGATTTGAATCTAAGAAATTTTGATGTTTATTATTTTGCTATATTTTCCATTAACAGAAATTTTTGTTACAGAAGTCCCAACAGGAATTTTACAAAAAGCCTTTTTCAAAGAAAATCGACCAGAGTAAGTTGTTACTCTATTTCAATGACGGTCAATTCGTAACACGTTTTAAAAATTTCTTGGCATTCTTAATTCTTTTGCAAAGAGGTTTATATTTTATAACCGTGTTGTAAAAGTGATTAGAAGAATATCATGGAAGCAGGCCCATTTCCATGAAATCATTGTGACTTATTTTAAAAACTTTACGGCACTTTTTAAATTTTGTTTTTACAATACGATTTATGTCTTATACTAACTTTTGTCACAAAAGTTCCATTTCTATGATATTCTTTCATTAATAAAAGAAGAATGACTTCTATCAAAAATTAAATGATTTCTTCCAAACTAAGAAATATTTCGATTTAATAATAATGGTTGCTGTGGGTTTTTTCTATCTTCGTATTTGCTGTTCTAGTTCTTACATGTAATGAGAATCTGATTTATCGGTAGACGAGAGACTTAAAAAGTTAAAATCTTTCAAGTGTAGAGCAAAATCAATGATAAATATTGAAGAGTAATTTAGAAATTTAGAAATGTTCTGTTTCAGTCAGATAAACCAGATGATATAATAGAATATTATTCGAAGTGTCAGAATCTGATATTGCAAATGGCAAGTTTTAGTACACCTGGGAAAATTTCTAAATGAAATTTCTAAATGATTTCTAAAGGAAATTTCTAAATGATTTCTAAAGGAAATTTCTAAATGATATTGCAAATGGCAAGTTTTAGTCCACCTGGGGAAATTTCTAAATGAGGAGGAAGAGAGTTTTAACTCTAATGAAACTAATAGTACTCTAAGTACATTATTGCATTATCCCAAATTAACCCTTAAATGCATGAATTTTTATTTTTATTTTATTTTTTAAATTTAAGTCAAAATACATTGGAATTGATATCAAATAAAATATAAAAATGCTAAAAAATATCTAAGCCAATTTTTTTAATATATTATTCCTAAATGGCTACATTATGCAAAAAAATATGATAGGCAAATGTGTGATAACAATTTTATGTAATAATACATACCTTATAAACTTGTTCAAACAATTTTGAAACTTTGAATAGTTCAAAAGAACAACAAACGCAAAATAAAAAATTCGTAAACACAAATGATGTCCACACCCTACTCATTAACTCACAATAATGACCACTACACCGTTACGCCACACTGAAACTTTCAAAACTATATACGTAAACATATGTACCCATTTGGTTATAATACTATATGCTGTCAGCTAAAATTTGTGCTTTGATTTTACTTACATGATTAAATATGAGTATGTTGCTAAATGGCAACTACATGCATTTAAGGGTTAAAATTTCCCACGTTCTATGGTAATGTTAAGAATTGATAAGCTTATGGGAACTGTGTAAGAAAACTAACACTGATCAAAATTTAGTTGATCATGATAAAAAAAATACCTATTTATTACAAACTATGATAAAAGGTCATCAGCCGAGGAATCACTACTCAGTTTTTCCCTTAAGAAAGGAAGTGATAAGAAAGCTTTTAAATAACTTCAAGTACGTTTCGGAATAAATGAATTACACTGGTGAAATAAATTAAGAGAATTCGCATATTTTATCAAATTGCATGAAAAGAACTGAACTGAAGGAAAACCCATTGCTTCTAGATAAAAATGCAAATCTTGCACGGCAAATACGTAAGCGTACACGTATGTGTAAGCGGAGCCAGCAGAGAAACAGGCCTTATAAGCGCGTGGAGGGTAAGACAAATTGCGTTCGCTAGCACACTTTCGCGAAGTTCTTGGTGTTATGTTGCAGAAATCGGTTAAATTCACATCAGAGCAGTTAAGATGAGTAACCACAAACGTTTAGGTTATGGAATGAGGGGGAATAGTGGGGAGTCTAGAGGCAGGCCAATCGCAAGTCCAGATATGCAGAGAGTTTAATTTAACGCCCTGCGTTGTGTGTAACCTATGGAAACAGTTCCCGGATACTGGATCCATCGAGAGAAAGCGATAAGGTCGTCCAAGAGCCACGACGGCCAGAGAAAATCGTTATTTATTCATTTTAGCGAGGCGTAACAGAGGGGCCAGCTTCTCAGCTCTCTCGGGACCTGTATGCAGCCACAGGAACCCTTGTAACAAGGGTGACTGTTTCCAAAAGACTGAATGAGAGAGGGTTGTTTGCCAGAAGACCGTTGTTGGCCGGTTGTTTGCCAGTTTGCGCCCCGCTCAGTCTACGGACAGGAGAGTCGATTATCATGGTGCAGGGAGCATAGTGATTGGAGTACGGAGCAATGGGCGATCGTTCTGTTCACCGACGAGTCCCGTTTTAGCCTAAGCACCGATTCTCGCCGTACTTTCATATGGGGAGAGCCAGGGACCCGGTATCCACCCTCTAATATCCGCGAAATCAACAATTATGGCGGTGGCGGTTTAATGGTTTGGTCAGGCATCATGTTGGATGGCCGCACACCTCTCCACGTCTTTCACAGAGGCTCTGTGACTGATGTGAGAAATAGGGATGAGGTCTTGGAGCCCTATGTTCGTCTTTTCTGGGGTGCAGTGGCCCCCGAGTTAATCTTACAGGACGATAACGTGAGGCCACATAGAACTCTTCCGGTCGACGAATTTCTCGAGAGTAAGGATATTCGCCGGATGGATTGGCCAGCCAGGTTTCCAGACCTCAACCCTATAGAGCATGTCTGGGAAGCTCTGGGGAGGGCAATTGAAACTCGCAAATCCACTCCGAGAACCATTCAGGAACTGAAAACAGCGTTGCTGAATGAGTGGCACCAATTGCTACAGGCACTGATAAACTGCCTTATTTCCAGTATGACATAACGCTGCGAAGCCTGTATGGCTCTAAGAGGGGACCATACCCCCTATTAACCCATTTCTTTTGTGTCTTCTGCTACCGCTGTTTCGGGCCTTCAGACTCCCATGAGTGTTACATAAGAACGTGTGTGTCTATTATAACTGTTGAATGTTTGTCTTGTTTGTATTATATCATCAATATGTTCACACCAAATTTTATTAACATCTGTCCAATAGTTCTGGAGATCGTAGATCAAATATGAAAATTCTCTTAATTTCTTTCACCAGTGTACTTATTGAAGTCTACGTTAGAGACCTCCTCTCTTTAATATTCCAGAAACACAGTTCGGTAAATGTACTTTCTCTAAGGAAACTATATGAGCAGACTGAAGCAAAAACTGCGTATTTGTGCCTTAGAGTCATTAGGAGTAGTGCGAGATAAGTATGCATTAATGCTCTATCTTTTAGTTGAATCTGCTCTACTAATAAAATACTTAGAACTTGGGGGAGGCTTTGGTCCGCTCGTCGTCATTCAGCTGAAGAACCACTAGAGGAAGAGAAGTCAGATCAACACACTGCGAATAAACATCTGTAAACAGGACAGAATTGAATAGATTACTTGTGTTTCTTCAAGATGAAATCCAGTCAGAAGACAGAATATAAACGGCCGTTAAATGTTCTAGTTTAAGTGCCTACTAAGAGTAGACAGGAAAGTAGACATAATAAAAATCTACGCATACCTAGCACGGCCGATTTATTTAAATCTGTGACGTTTCAAAAGAGGCGAAATATAACAGAAAAACTACATTTTTAACTTTAAAAACGAGTGATAGTGTTAAGAAATGCAAAAAGCGAAGAGTGTTGTCTTGTTTGCGGCAAACATCACAACACAGTTCTGTAGAGAAAATTTCCAGAAAGCGAAGTTCAGTCAGAGGAAAAAAAGAAAAAAAACAGATGAATCTGTGGTTCAGTTTAAGGCAGTGGCTACTACTCCACAAAGCCTAATATTTTGTTGCAAACGTGACTGTTACTGTTGAGAATGCTGGAGTAACGTAAAAACTGCGTACAATAATTGACTGGACTTCTCAGAGATCATACATAATAAAAAATAGAGCCGAAGAAATGGGATATAATCGGTCAGAGAAAAAAAGCTGCGCTATTCACTGTTCGGAGGTGCTTATACGGATTCCTGTACGTTTGAACTATTTGACTAAATTATCCGAAATTTATTAGCTGTTCCTTAGAAGTTCTTAGTTAGCTGTTATAATTTAAACCATACTGCCTGTAAGTCAAGGACCTTGGTTGAAAGAATTTAAAGATTTCGACATATCGTTAACAGAACCACAAACTAGCCTAAATGAAATTCTATTAGGTGTTGATGCTGCTGGAAAACTTATGACCGGAGGGAATAAATTACTTTCATCTGGCATCGGAGCTATTGAAAAGAAGCTTAGTTGGACGATTATGTGGTGCAAAACTTAGTTTAGCGATAAATGTGCACATTTACTGGTAATTGTGACTTCAATGTTAACAAAAAATATATGCATCACAGACCTACAGAATTTTGATTCTTTGGGTATTACAATCCAGTACAAATCCAGCATGAATTGCATAAAGTTGGAAACCAACAATTTTTGGATATTTTCCAAGTTAATAATGGTCGTTTCGAGGTACATTTGCCTTGGATTGAAAATTATCCGCCACTGCCTGATCTTTACAATATGGCTATGAAAAGGCTAAGACAGTAAGCAAACTAAAAGGAGAAAGTCTTTATAAGGCGTATGAAGAACTATTTTCTAAATGATTCAGAAAAGCCATAATCAGAGAAGTTCTAGAAAATGAAACTGATGCAACATGCTACTATTTATCCCATTAACAGGTCATCAAAGAACACAGAAGCACCAGAATTAGACTGGTCTTTGATGCCTATTCAAAGCCAAAGTGATTCACTAGCCTGAACGAATGCCTTCAAAAGGGAATAAATTTAATCGAGTTAATCCCATCAATTATTGGTAGATTCCGTGTGTACGAAATATAAGTTGTAGAAGACATCATAAATATAAAGAAATATAAGAATAAATTATAATAAAATTAGACAAATTAGACTAAAATAAAATTAGAAATATAAGTTGTAGAAGACTAAATCATTCTCCCAAATCAGCCTGCGTGCAAGTGATAGAAATTTACTGAGATTTCTACCGCATTTGCATGGAGGGATACTAAAATTGCGTAGAACACAGTCATAAAGTGTTCGGAATGACTTCTACGCCATTCCTACTTTGTGTTACTATCCAACATCATTTGGAAATTCTTATAAAAAAGACTAAGTGATGGTAAGAAAATATTTGATACAGTAACTTCTCAAGATTTTTATGTTAAAAATAACGTGACCAGCGTCCAGAACAAAAATGATACAATTAGCGTCCATGTAACTAATTTTATGAAATGTGATTCGAGAAAATTACTAAAGGAGTAATGTTAGCTACCACTCATGGTATCTTTGATCCTCTAGGAGTTATATGCCCTGGCGTTCTGGTTCCTAAACTACTCTTCCAATGAACGTAGAAGATAAAACTCAGCTGGGGCCAAGAAGTTGATAAAGAAACAAAATCCAGTTTTTTTTTTTTTTTTTTTTTTTTTTTTTTTTTTTTTTTTTTTTTTTTTTAATTGTTAAAGGAGATTTCTTACTTAGAAAATTAAATATTCCTAGTTGGTTGAATTGGGAGAATGGATATAAAAGCTTTTCCTTGCATTTTTTCCGAGATTCAAGCAAATTAGCTTAACTTGTAGTAGTAATAATGTGAATCGAAATCCAAATTGATGTAAATGTACGATTATTGTACGGTAGGAGTAGGGTTTCATTATGCAAAAAGAAAGAACCACCATCTCGTGCTTAGAGTTACTGGTACTTACAATTGCCTCACTTCTTGCCTTTAACAACAATTTCAGGGTGAAAATACATATTTCTGGACAGACTCTACAACCGTACGTGCTTGGATAAAAAGGGAAGAGCTCTGAGATGTATTTGTCTACAAGCGGGTACAGGATACAAGAGAGTTAACGCCAAAGGAATCTTGTAGACATATCTCTGGCGCATTCAGCCCGCTGACTTGCATAGCAATTCTCAGCTCGCTATTTGGCAAACTCTTAATAGTAGGAGGGACTCAGTTTTCTTTACGTATCGCTGAAAGGACGGTGGGAATTTGAATTGATTGTTAGTGAAGAATAAATCGTTAGAGAAAAAGGGAAGTAAGTTGTTTAATCTGTCATGACTCTTGTTACTGAAAAGCAATCTTTTCTCAACTTACCGGAGAACAGTGAGACTGACGTCTCGTATTAAACAATTTCTCTACAATGTAGCCATGGGGTAAAACGGAGAGGATAGCTCACTGTACAAGAGCTTAATGAAGACGAAAGAGTGCTATCCGTTTAATAAAGTTGGAAAATTTTAGTATTATTAACTGCTCTCCACACATTTCTCGATCACAGAATTCTGCGAAAAATAATTGTCGTTTTCCAAAGAAAAGATAGTAGGAAAGCATACTTTTGTCTCTTCTCACGTGTGCTGTGTACCGGTGCTCACCTCGAGCTAGTGACTTTCGCGTCAACAGAATCTTTTCTGTAAGCTTTTCATGGTTTTACCTCTAGGCATGGTAGACTATAGTTTTGCACTGATAATGATAATGATAATAATTTTGTGGGAGCAAGTAATGTATTTGAATGGATTAATTTTAAAGATGCCCTCCGAAGGGAAAGGGATGAACGTATTACTTAAAAATGTGTCCCTCTTGGCTCGCAGCGTAGAGGTTAACTGGTAGGAAAGTCTTATTGGAATGATGAAAAGAATTCTGAAGAAAGTCTTTGGCTGCGCCAGCTTAAATTATAACTATATACGCGCCATTGTGTGCAACAGTAAGGCTATACTAAATGGTAGGCCTGTTACAGCTGGATCTACAGATTCAGATTTTTCCGTAAGAATTTCTGGAGTTTTTTGAAAGAAATTCGAAAATATTTAATATCAAATATAATACAGGAGGTAAATTCTGTTATTTCAAGACGTAGATTGTGCTATCCTCAAGATGTTCGAGATGCTTTAGGGGAAGATTTCCTCAGGAATATTAAGGAGTTCCACCAATTTCGAAGAAAATGTCAAGTTAGTCTTCTGACCTAAAAGGAGATATTGTTGTTCTTATTGGAAGCGACGACAAGAAAAGAATAATCTGGTCTCTTAGTTGAAGTTTGGATTTAATTTCTGGAGCAGACGGAATAAGTCGAAGAGCCACAGTTGGAACTCAAAAAGTGGAGTTAATTAAGGACTCTCTAAAATCTTTATCCTTTGGGAGGTTCTTCTGAAAGAGATCGCCGGACTTATCAATGTATTACTGAAGCTTCTAAGGAACATCTGAAGACCTCGCCTTGTCTGGCTGATGATAGTGTGTCTGAGAAGTTTCTGGTTACTCGATCAGGGAGAATCATCACGTCCTATGAGGTTGTGATGGGTTGTGAGGTTGCGCACATGGGTAATTTCCTATTTAGTTAGTTTTGTGATTTTCTTATGTTGTAAGGTAACATAATATTTAATTAACTTAGGTGGAGGTTGTTCACCAGTTCGCTTAACCACGGTTGCTGTAGGTTTCTTCTTTCTTCGTATTGGCATCAACTTTGTTGTTCTAGTCATTTATTTTTTTAGTACGTATGTGAAAAAGTTGTTGTGAGACGGCTATCTGTAAAATAAGCAGTAATTAAGAGGAAATAAATAGGTGGCTACTTGATGTTTTTCTTGATAGTGTTTTGTGAATGGAGAATTGAGTACTACAATAATTATATTGGGAACAGTAAAGATCTAGCCTGAGCAAATAAAAACGCCATTTAGCTCCACAAACTTCTTTTCAATAAAATTACGGACAAACAGCACAGAATAAGTGTTTCGAATAAGTTATGAATAATACATGTAATTACTAGATTATGATACTAAAGTATTGAAAACATCATGAGAATATTAATAACATATATTTAACTAGCATTTAGAACTTATAAATTAATGGTGTGAAAACTCTTTCAGTTACTATATGTAACAAAGTTATAAATTAAAGGTTAGTACTCATTATTAAATCCAAAGGAATATCACTAAATGATATCAAATGAAAAGAAAAATCAGCCTGGATTTAATCTGCTTTAATATTTTAGCCGATCTCTGAAGCTAAGCCAAAGATGATGCCGAAAACCCTAAATTTTAAATTTTTATATCCCGGTCAATATTTGTTATATTAAAATCAAACATTTTACATTTTACTTTTTAGAATAAATATAAACACTTATTAAATGTAATTCTAGAAACCGTGGAACGTAAAATTGATTTCCTAATAAGATTTCGTAATCTTTAAGAAATTGATTTTTAAATCATTGTAAGCCTATTTTCTTAACTACAATAATGCTGAAAATGTTCATAAAATGTATCAATCGAAGTATAAATTATATGCGTTTCAAATTATATTAATTACACGTATTATTAAAAAATAATTGTTTAAATAAATAGAAAGCACTTTTGTTGCTTTTGTTTACTTCTCAGTTTTTCGTGAACTTGTAATTAACTAAACATAAAATCTAAAAAAATTATCTTTTCTTTTGATAAAGCAAAAGTCTCTGACAATAAGCTGTGTGCGAAGGTTCGTATAGGATATATTTAAGTCTTGTCATGCAATAAGAACGATTGCCAGGACGAATAGATCGTTTATGTGTGGCAATGTATAAAACAACCGTTCAAAATTTTGAAGAAGACATTTAGTATTTTTGCATTGTTAATCTTTCTCATATACATCTTTAAACTTAAATTTATCTGAAATGCAATGACTTACACACATTGCTTAACATAATTTAAGTTATTTAAAGTATAACTAAAACTGTTCGAATCCTGCACATTCATTCGTACATTCCCCCTCTAGATCTTTGAATTGGGGAGCAATAGGTTTCCTTATTGCCCAAGAAGCTACAAATGCATTCTTCTTTGAAGGTAAAGTAATTATTCATATTAAAATATTGTTGCAATTTTTTTTGAAGTCATGTTTAAAGCTGTAGCATATTTTGTATAATGTAATATGAAAATGTGAAGCGTCGACGCTCTTCGGAGGAATAAAATCCAGGGGCTAGTCTATTTGACATTGAGGTAAATGTCTGTCTCTTTAAATTGGCGAGATATTCTCAAGCTAGCGAGGCTTTTGACGATTTTCTTTAGCCAAATTTGGGAAGAAAGGAACATGAATTTTATTGTCAACATTCTTAACTATTTTAGTAAATCGCACACAGTTTACGCATATCTGAATATCCTGATTACATTCTGAACTTTTATTTTTTCCCATGCGCCTAAAGCAGGTTAGCGAATTTCTACATTCAGACGCTTTATGATTCTATGATAAACATTTGAAACAAGAGTTTAAGACAAGAAAGTCTTCTGTTTTGCAGATTACAGTTCATTTCTAATTACTTTACACTTACGAATCTCTTATGAAAAGCTGCGTTAGCTTCGCTTATCACAAGTCTTCCATCTGTAAATTTCATCAACATAAATCTTACTTTTGTTTGATTCCATACTTCTCCTAACTCAACTAATTCAGGATTCTGCTCATTCAGAACATTCATTAATTCGACCTAACTTACAATATTTGTTTATGCTATTTGTTAATTTGGTCTCACTCATATGCTTCGTTTCTGTCCGCCTCATGCTGTAGTACTGTAGTGTCGGAATGGACGGTTGATTCTATGTATAGAGTTGTCACTGCATTTGGCAATAATTGGGCACTTTTGAGAAGAAGCGTTATATTTCTACCTTTAGCAGAAGTAGAGGTGAAATTTGGTTCATTCATTAAAGTTACTTCAAATGGTTTCTTGTCTTCTTCCGAGGAGAACTTTGAGGAGGACTTCTGAGGAGGACTTACTTTACAAGCACCTTTTTTTTTTTTTTTTTTTTTTTTTTCCAACACATTTCATTCTTCTGACACCAACTTTAACCAGCCTTTTAAACTCTTCAGCTGAGATACTAGAGTCGGTTTATTCAACAACAACATTAAATTCAAAAGTGTTACTCTCAAAATATTCAACAGGAGGCGCTACACTTGCGGAGCAAAGTTTTCTACAATTAATGCGCGTTGGCAAGCTTGGCGTAAATTTTCAACCTTAGTTTTCAAATTTCTTCGCAATCAATAGTGTTAACTCACTAAGAGCATTCTTTATTTCCTTCCTCACCTGAGCATTTACATTGATATTCACATTTAATTTAACGTCCAGTGATCTCTAACATTTCTCAGATCCGCTGTAAAAAGCATCAACAGCAGCTGCCGTCATTCCAGGAGCATCACCGATTGCATAGCATAAAATGGTGCATGCACAGTGCGAAAAAAAAATGGGACAGTTCTATATCTCCCGTTCTACTGGGCAGATTGACAAAACTCAAATTGTGTTTTTCATATCTCGAAAGCGCGACTTAGGATATATATTCTATTTATATATAGCACTATTCTGACATAGGTATTGTGACACAAAATCGTACTTTTTCTGAAATAACATACCAATGGTTTTTACATATTTCGATTCTACGACTCAAGTTTTGTAAGACTGCAAGTTTTGTAAAAATCGCACGATTAGTTCTTAAAATACTAGCTCACAAAATTTTAGCTTCCTCCAGTATTTATTGAATTTGGCATATATATTTATTAATATCTCTCTTTTTATTAAACTGTTATTTGATTATTCCTCCCGCATTTCGAAATTTAGGTTCCTTCCGAATAAAATTCTGTCCTTTTTTATGACTTGTTTTTTAAATTTATACTTTTAAATAATTTTAATAATTTTTTCGAAAAACATTTTGAATTATAACTTCTCAAAGTTTTGTCTTCATCTTAAAGCAGATGTATTTCTAAGCACACCTGCCAAAAATTACAGTTTTTTTCAAAGTTTTCAAGATATTTCCTAAGGTACATACGTGAATTTACAAATTGGCACGTTTTGAAATTTTGCATATTCGTTTTTTTTGAAGCGATAATAAAGCCAAATGTGGTTTATGGATTTTTTACAGTGAACTGCCACAGCTATTTTAACCTTAGATTTCAAATAAATTTTAGGGAGAATTAATTATATGAAGTTTGTTCCCTCAATGATGCGTAATAAATATTTATTTATACTAAAAAAAATTTTAAAAAGATTTTTAATTTTAGATGATATTATTCAAATTTTAACTTTTTTTTTTTAATTTATCTTTCTTCCCTTTTTTAAAAAAAAAATATTTGTAAGAATAAATTTTTATCTTCGCTGTGTTAACCTCTGCTACTTTACTTTAACTTCGTTTAAATTAAATTAATTGAATTGTGAAGGTGAAAGAATAAAATCAATTAGCTTTTACAATTAAAAGCACTTAGCTCATATAAAATTTCCACATGTTAAATGAAAGAACAAATATCATTATAATACTTCTGAATACTTCAAATAACATGCCAAAATACAGAAATGTTTAACAACTGAAAAATTTACTAGAATGTAAGGTTTTACTTAGCTTTCCTGTTTGTAGCGAATGCAGCAATTAAAAATTTATGTTTTGTATTCAGAAATATTTTGTGACATTAACTGCATAATCTATTTCTAAACAAGCTGTTGCTTATGTTGTTGAAAGAGCGGCTGATACTATCATCCATACTTTTAAAGCACAGTATATTTTTATAGAAACATAAGAATATATAATATAAACATAAGAATATATATAAAAAAGATAATCATTTTTATAAAAATTATGATATAAACATACAACTTTCTAGAGACCGAATTAATGGAAGTTCAATGGTTATGTAGAAATGATCTGCAGCTACTTAATGGCTGGGTAGGTCAACAAGTTATGTGGACAAGTAAGAATAATTATATAAACGACACCCAACATTCTGGATTCAATTACCAAAGAGGGTACGATATTTATTAAATGAATTTAAGAACTTTTTAAACAAAATATCAACTAATTTTTTAACCTAAAATTTATTTTTCTGCGTAGCGTATTTTCATTATAGCCTTAAAATTCTAATTTAGAATGTAATTGTCAGGAACTGAATTCTAATCATCAGTACGATAATAAGTGATTATTACAGTTATTAATAAATCCTTCTTATAAAGTAATTGCAAATATTTCAAAAAATGTCCTTTTCTATGCAAATATTTCTAATTTTAAATTAATCAACATTGCACAAGATATTATTTATTTGTAGTTCAATTCTTACCGTCAGCTCTAGTAGAAGTTATAAATCAGTTATGTTTAATTAAGGAATGACCATCTAAGTTTAGAAACAGCGTATTGGTGCTGTAACAGCAATCCAATTATTGGCGCCGTATCTTTCATGTTTCTCCCGATTGGCAAGCTACATGATTTTTAATGAGTGTTTGGCTTTTTCTAGTAACTTCACATGAAAATCGCGCTTAAACTAGGTTAGTTGGTTATTTGAACATAGAAAGAACATGGGAGCTATTTGGTAAAGATGCTTTCATATAAAACTAAACAAACAATTAGTATTCAACAATCTTCAAATGCTAGGCCACTGGTGAGGCTTCAATTAAATATCCAATTTAATATTTTATTTGTAAACATTTATTTGTAAACACAAAAAGCAGAATTTAAGTTTTAACTCGTTAGTAAACTACCAAGCCGTAGTGCAAATGAATATTCAATTTCTTTTGCAGTAACTGTGTAATGTTGCGCGCTTCCAACCTGCACGCAACAATAGTGGTGACTGCTATGAACTGGAAAGTATACAAACTCTTGAGAAGGGTTTAGTTCCCGTTTTATTCAACTTTAGAAATTACAGATGCGTGCTCTTGACGCTCACAAACTACGCGACCCGGCGGTAAAAATAAAATAAAGAAACTAAAGAAAAGAATAACAACAAGTGACTAACTACGAGGCTCTCTAAACGTAACTAACCTAACCGCGTTCTAAGATTACCGCTGATAATTCAGCAAACTTGTGAATATTACGTTGAAAGATTTAACAATCTGCCGAGGCAAGCACACAGGCCGAAACGCGTGGTTGTTCAATTTCTAACTAGCCACCTCCACGCTCGTGAAGCAAGAAAGCACACTTTCGAACTCGTTTCCCTTCTATTTAACTCAGATTACTTCCGCTGACGTTCTACTAAAATTTACATACTCTGGCATGCTTATTCACAAAGCCTACAGACCGTTTCTATTGCCGTTTGCTCCGATTGGTTAAAACAGGAAACGTAGGGTTTCCGAACCTAGTGCTTACCGACTTTTGGTTCATATCCTTTAGAATTTGTATTTAAGAGTGGTGTACCAAAAATTGTGCATAACTCACCGGAGAAACCGCAACTCGGAGGTAACGAGCGCAAAGAAAGGCGCAAATGCCTTTATTTTCTCTATTTTTGTTAATTTTTCTTATTTTTATTTACTGGTTTGTACTCTTTTAGTAGGTACCAGTAGCAAGATTACTATCCAAGATCCCGAAAAGTGTTTCAATAGAAATAGCGAATAATGGAATAAAATATAATTTTAGTTATACTTTTCATAATTTAGATAAAAAAAAAAGAATACGTATCCGACGCCCTAAATGTTTACTGAATGTTTATTTGGTTTATTTTTTAATATTCCTTTATTTGTATAAATTAATGCGCTATGGAAATTAACAAACAGGCTCTTTCAAACAGAAATGACGAAAAAAAGGCATATGCTATCTCCATGTAAACACCTTTTCTTGTAAAACCATTACGTACTTTTAAAGTTTAATTAAAATACAAATAAACAATTAATAAGATCAGTTTTATAAAATTATTCCCACAATTCTCAACCCTTCATAAATAAAAAATATCGAAAAAATAAAGCGTTCCGTTTTGCGTTATACCATGCCTAAGGCGATACTCGCCTTGAAATGACCGCCAAGCAGAGTCATCATGAAGCAGATTAGAGAAATGTTGTAGGCTTGGAATATGCCTCGGCATGGCAATTCCAGGGGAAAGTAAGGCTTAA